GCCACATACTGCTGAACCAGATGGCTTCGATGAGCAAGAACCAATAGGCGTCGTACGCATCCTGCCAGATCCCTGATCGCCGGAGATGGATGAGACGTATGAAGCCGAGACAGAAGATTTGGATAAATCAGATCCAAAAAGGCCAAATCGAAGCCTCTCAACAAGCAAATAAAGCTGTTGATCCGTTATTCTATGCAGTGCATCTGTCCGCACAATGCATGCACAAGAAACAACTTGATAAAAGAGGCCGCAGAGCTCAGGAATCTATGAGGTGATAGATAAAGGCATAAATGAATAAAGGTCAGAAAAAGTTAGCATCTCTACTTAATCAAAGGATTATAAAATGGAATCAACATACCAAAATAATAACGAACTCTCGCAGTTTTCTGCATGATCTTGTTGGTTAGAGACAAAAATAGCGGTGTGATTTTATCAATAATGGGCTGTGGTTTCGAATCATCCTGGGTCTAATCAGCAGCTCTAACTGAATCGTGGTGTGTGAATTGGTAAAGACATACTGTCTTAAAAGCTATATCCCTCTAGAAGCCCAACTGTCTTGGGTTTGTGCTCAAGAGGCAATTCATTTGCCTCTGAAGCCTCATTTCTACCATTCAAATCCTTTGGAGTGCAGTGAGACTCGCGCGAAGATGAAAGTTTAAGCAAACATCAATAGTAAATAGGAAGATAAAATTCAAAAGTACGATAAGCTATATATTCGAGCAATATAACCGAATAAATATGTTGCTATGAGGAAATCATTTCTGAAGCCTAGGGAATAAGCATCCTTTGTAATCAATGCAAAATACAGTTGAAAGGATGGCTAATACTTTATAATTTCGTAGAGTTTTGTATAGTTTAAGGCAGATTTCTTTTAAATTTTAAATAAAAACGTCTTGTCAACAAGTATGAATAGAAACCTCTCTCTTATGACGACTAAATTCGATCAATCACAACTAACTAGATGAATCCATGAAAAATAAAAATATTTTTTTCTCATCTACTCTTTTTGGAATATGGAAGATTAAATCATCCTTATCCAATGTTTTTATGATTGACTAGAGTATTGATCTGAATAAAATATTCAGATGTCAAAATATTGGCTATTACAATGAAAGGATCAAATCACTAAATTAGTATGTGCTTTAATATAACTACCGGAATAGGTAAGGGAGAATTCCCGCCGACATTTTTTTATTTATTTAAGAAAATACAGTGAATGGATCACTCAAAACTTTCTCCAAATGTAATATCCAATTCGTTGGCTAATGCAGCATTTGGAAATAATCCTTATGAGTGCCCTTAGAAGCATGACAACTTTGAAAATAAGGTTAACGAAGAAGTTATATAATTTTGGTTGCAAAGTGAGCAATTTAACAGAAGCAAAAGATAAATAATACAAAATTCATCTACCATAAGTCGCTCCTCTGTGATAAGTGGCAGGATTTCTGCCAGGCCTGTTACTGCGACATCTGCGGTCAGGTCGGGGGGCCGATGAGAGCCATCAGACACAATGTTAGAGTCAGTGTCCATTCCAGTCTCCAAATGGATCTCAACAGGAACTTCTGTTTCAGCTGCATCAAGTGAGAGGCGAAGATCAAAGTCATCGGTGAGGATGAAGTTAAAGAGACTGAGTAAGAGACGAAGCTCTGCGATCTGATCATCCTCAGCACCAACTTCAAAGGAAGACTTGCCTAGATGGGGAGAAAACAGTTAAACACGAGAAAAAGGAGATAAAAAGGTTAGAACAATCGTGAAAGCCTGGCATATTGCTGCCAATGGCAGTTGTATTAATACAAAATTGATACATTTTTTGTTAAATACACATAAGACGATTTTTTCTATCTTTAAGTAGGAGAAAACCATGCTAATAGTCAGAGCGGATCTGTTCAGCGTTATTATTGGTAGATAAGATTCAATGAACGAAATTAAGCATAGGTGGCTGTATCACATATTAAGAAAGATTCAATTTTAAACCCAAAAAGCAATTCAGACAAGCATAGAGCAAATGATAACGTTCAAACTGAAAATTTTTATATAAGCATGTTAGCCTTAACCTTACTAAGTACTAAGATAGGAAAAGTACATAACTATTGACAGGACAGATCCAAAAACTGATTGATCTGGAGAAGATTAGCACAAGAAGAGTGTATGAGTATGTGTGATGAAAAACCTAATGTGAAAAGGGAAGTTAAAATGCCGTTTGATATCCCAATGAAACTTCCAAATATTACCAGAGATTCAACACCAGTATTGATGCACAGTTTTTAAAAATGTTAAGATATAAGATATGAAGACCAAGATGGTGTGGCCTTTTGTGTGGTCGCAGTCTCCTTTCGTTGTATAGAAG